TGCAGTAGGGGCTCAGCATTTCAAGTTGATAGCACTATCATTTAGACTGGCCATGGCTCCCAGAGTTTTCACAAATACTCTTGCTCCAGTGTTGGGGCTGCTCAGAACTCGGGGATATCAATCATAGGTTATCTAGACGATCTGTTGCTCAGATGTTGGTCAGTGCCAGGTCTGAAGCAGGATGTGGTCCTCATTCAGATCCTGGAACAGCTGGGCTGGGTGCTCAACTTCAAAAAGTCGGCTCTGGAGCCAAACAGAGCCTGGAATATTTGGGCGGCAGTTGATTCCAGGGGAATTGGCTTTGAACCCCGAGATTTTCAAGGGAATCTTCCAGCTATGGGGTTGCCCAGACATAGATCTGTTGGTTTCCAGGTTCAATAACAATGTTGGTATTTTTGTATCCAGGGTAAGGGACCCTTGTGTGGCAGGAGTAGATACCAGTTTTCACTGATTTATTAGTATATAAATATCCTCCTGCGCTCCACAGAGTAACTAAACAAAGCTAGCTGCTATCATCTAGAACCTGTACCATGCGACAAACAATCACAAAAAATGGATGAAGAAGCTCAGCAGTGAGGGTACTACACATATTAACCTAAATAAATAAATAAAATGCAGAATATAAATATATATAGCAAAATAAGATAAAAGTGACTAGTGCTCAAATCAAATGCAAATGTGCAAACAAAACAAACAACCAGTCTGCCACCAAGTGGCTAAAAACAGGTCCTGAATGTGCACACACTAAGTGTATACAAAGTGACAAGTGCTCAAAACTGGATTATATATATTCACGTGTGTTACCACATAAATGCAATATAAATGTATAAATTCACAGTGAACATTCACTGAATAAGGTGACAAGTGTTGAAATAAATAATCAATCAATATCAATAAAATCAAAATCAAAAATAAAGTGTAAAATTCATGCTAACACTTTCCTGTGATATAAATAAATATATAAAAAGTGCTTTTTCTTCCTCCACTTCAAATCTGTGCTCAAATCAAGGTGTCACTCTAGTGCATATATCCTCCAGTGGCTGGAGTGCCTCCTCACCTCCTTCATTCGACCCCTAGGGGCCACAAGTCATATAATATTATGATGTTCCACACTGATTGGACTCTGTCATCAGGAAAAAACTTATCCCAATGGCTCCACAACAACTCCTCTAACACACCGATATCCACTCAAAAATGTTAGGCATGGGAAGACTCAGCAATGCAATATCAGGGCCATGGAAGGATAAACAGAAAGAGAAACTTCCACAGTGCAATATGTCTGTTTATTCAATATAAAGCCAGATAAACAACTCACATGCTCCAAGTACAAAGCACACGATTTCCCATATGCTATGGGTGTACTGAGGAAATCAAGATGGCGAAAAACCGGAAGTCCGTCACCGGAACTGCGTCACCGAGCTCCACCCGGAAATGACGTCACTACGCTCTACGGGTTACACCACTGACACATGGCTTCTTCAGGATCCTCAGGATATCACAGGAGAGTGTTAGCATGAATTTTGCACTTTATTTTTGATTTTATTGATATTGATTTATTATTTATTTCAACACTTGTCACCTTATTCAGTGAATGTTCACTGTGAATTTACACATTTATATTGCATTTATGTGGTAACACACGTGTATATATATATATATATATCCAGTTTTGAGCACTTGTCACTTTGTATACACCTAGTGTGTGCACATTCAAGACCAGTTTTTAGCCACTTGGTGGGCAGACTGGTTGTTTGTTTTGTTTGCACATTTGCATTTGATTTGAGCACTAGTCACTTTTATCTTATTTTGCTATATATGTTTATATTCTGCATTTTATTTATTTATTTAGGTTAATATGTGTAGTACCCTCACTGCTGAGCGCTTCATCCATTTTTTGCTTTTTCTCTGATTTATGCCTATCCTCCAATTCAGCTGCTGTCATGTTTCTCATGCAGGATTCAGGAGGAATCTATGCGGTGGTGATATTGATTGCTCCAGCCTGGCCAGGAAGGCCTGGTACACGGACATAGTGAAGATGGCAGTACACGGGCTGTGGTCCCTGCCGTGCCAGCCAGACTTGGTGTAACAAGGTCCTATATTGCACTCAGCTTTACGGTCGGCATGGCTATTGAAACCCAGATCCTAAAGGATAGGGGAGTATCGGATTATGTCATCCTCATCACGTTGGGTGCTAGAAAAGTGTTCTCTAGGAACATTTATTACATAACTTGAAAGGCTTACATTTCCTGGTGTGAGGTCAGGAAATGGCACCTATGACAGTATGTGATTGGTAGGATTCTGTCTGTTGTTTCTTCTTTAAACAGGGTTGGAGAAAAAATTGGCTGTTGGTACCATTAAGGGCCAGGTTTCAGCATTAGTTACATAGTCTGGCTGAAAAAAAAAAAAAGACAAAAGTCCATCCAGTTCAAAAAAAAAAAAAAAGTTATAATCCTATACCCACAATTGATCCAGAGGAAGGCAAAAAACCCCAGCAAAGCTTGATCCAATTTGCTCCTCTAGGGTAAAAAATTCCTTCCTGATCCCCCGAGGGGCAATTGGATATTCCCTAGATCAACTTTACCTATAAATGTTAGTATCCAGTTATATTCTGTGTATCTAGAAAAGAATCCAGGCCTTTCTTGAAGCAATCCACTGAACTGGCCAGAACCAACACTTGAGGGAGTCTATTCCACATTTTCACAGCTTTTACTGTGAAGAAACCTTTCCATATTTGGAGATTAAATTTATTTTCTTCCAAACGTAAAGAGTGCCCCCTTGTCCTCTGATTACCTCAGGGTGAATATCTCTACACCGAGTTCACTATATGAACCACTGATGTATTTATACATGGTGATCATATCCCCCCTTAATCTCCTCTTCTCAATAGACAATAAATTCAGTTCCTTTCCTTATAGATGAGCTCCTCCATGCCTCTTATCAGTTTAGTTGCCCTTCTCTGTACTTTCTGCAGTTCCCCGATGTTCTTTTTGTGAATTGGTGCCCAAAACTGAACTGCATATTCCAGATGAGGTGTTACTAATGATTTGTACAGGGGTAATATGATATCTCACTCTGGAGTCTATACCTCTTTTAATACAAGAGAGGATTTTGCTCACTTTAGAAACTGCAGCTTGGCATTGCATGCCATTATTAAGCTTGTGATCTATATGTCAGATTGACTTTATTTTCACTATAATATCACTTATTTTAGCGCTGCACTTTCTATATAGGTTATTCCACTGCAAAGCTTGGTGTCATCTGCAAAGACTGAAATGGTATTTTTACTCCCAGACCCTATTAGTTGTTTTTTTCCCCAGAGGCCCATTGGTGTTAATTTACTAAAGCTGGAGAGTCCAAAATCAGACTCCCCTCTGCATAGAAACCAATCAGCTTCTAACCTCAGCTTGTTCAATGAAGTTTTGGCAATGAAACCTGGAAGCTGATTGGTTTCTATGCAGAAAGGAGTCTGATTTTGGACTCTCCAGCTTTAGTAAATAAACCCCATTGTGTCTCACTCTTTGGTTCACACTTTTTTTTTTTTTTTTTTTTTTTTTACAAGGAGTAATACATATTGCTCCTCCTATACGGTTGCCTTTGTGTCCTTGGGACCTGAACTTTGTTTTGGAGGTTTTGCAAAAACCACCATTTGAGCCCATTAGAGAGATTCCACTGGTCCTGTTGACTCATAAGATTTTGTTTCTAGTGGCAATCACTTCTGCAAGAATGGTGTCAGAGCAGCTCTTTCTTGCAGAGAACCATTTCTGGTTTTGCACCATGATAAGGTGGTGTTGTGACTTTTACCAAAGCTGCATACCTTGGATGTGGTACGCGCTGTAAGGGTCTTCTTGAAGATGACAGCACAGATCAGATGCTCTGTTCGCGCTGCCAGAGGGGCCTAGGAAGGGGCAGGCAGCATCCAAGGTGACTTGGACATTGGATCCGCCAGTTGATCATTCAAGCCTATGGATTGCTATGAATTTCTTCAAGCAAGATCCCAGACAAGCTAGTACACCCTTCTTCCATTGTGCCAGTGCAAGTATAGTAGAAGGTATGAATACAAAGGTCCTTCTTTATTCAGGTGACTCTACTGTATGAGGACTTCTATGATAGACATCTAAAGCAGCTACCTCTGTGTAAGCTGGAAAAACTAGAGATTTGGGGAATTGGAGCTGAGAAGTTCCCCTATGATGGGTATCTGTCAACTATCAGGTTAGTGTTTCATCCCTCTGGTTGGGCAGTCAGAGACATTCTAAAAGAAACAGGTGTGCTTATCCCTTTAAATAATATAAATAATTCATGAATATATCAAAAAGGTAACGTGCAAATTACAATGAAAAATATCAAAATTCATAAATAAAATTCAAATTAGTAATGTCCAAGAGCTCAGAAATAGAATCCAAAAACATGTGCAAATTTATATAACTCAATCCATGGATTGGATCCATGGGATATTTGAGGTTTTATTAATTTATGAATTGTGATATTTTTTCATGATCATTTGCACATATTAACTTTTGATGTATGCATGAATCACTTATTTAACAAATGATTATGCACACATGTTATGTAAAGGGATAAACACACTCGTTTCTTTCAAATTGTTGTTTAGGTCTTGTGTTCAGGCCTGGTTAGTGCAGCTGTCCTGGATGGTCTGAGCACAGGTTATAGTCGGTTTTTTATTTATATTCATAAACATTCGACACTTTAGCCACACGAGTGTCCTTGTGTCCCTGGAGCACCAGGAGTCCCTGATAGCATGGACAAATCCTGATCTCATCAGGAGATTACTCACCCTCATCATCTCAGAGTGAACCAGCAACCAAGGGTGTACTCCCCATGTTACAGCAGGTGTGTCAGGAATGGACTGGCCAGCAATGGTGGGACTCACCTGCCTTTTGATCTGCAGTACCAGGGCTGGCCAGCGGGTGCTCCCAGCAATCAGAGACTCAACCTTTCAGCCAGCTAACACCTGGAACTGATGATACTGGTGTATTTAAGGGATGGCCAGACTTGCAGACTCTGCCTTGGTGTGTTTGTCTTGGGCCCTGTATCTGTCCTGCATCCTGTTTCTGTTCCTTTGCTGACCCTGCCTGATCTGAACCGCTGCTGACTTCTCCTGCTCTGATCCCGGCTCGCTCCTGACCATCCCTCTGCCTGACCCTCTGTACCACGCTGCTTGCTACCTGTTCTGATCCCTGGCTTGTGACCCTGACCATCCCTCTGCCTGACCCTCTGTACTACGCTGCTAGCTACCTGCTGAACCTGGCCTGTGACCCCGACCCATCTCCGCTTGCTCCCCCTGTACCTACCTGCCCTATTGATATTGACCCGGCCTGCCTGACGACGCTTGCTTGTATGTACTGTTATCTGTGGGTGGTTGGTTTGGTTTGTTTGCACTGTATTATGTTTTAGTATTGCACTGCGTTTATGTATGTATGGTTAGTGTTAATAAATTATATTGTTTATCACATATCTGAAGTCTGCGTTTCCCTGCGTCAGTCACACACCTCTGGTCACACCTGGGAGCCCTGACATTACACCAAGGCCAATCCTGACCAGAAGTGGCTGCACAGGGAAGCCATCTTGGCTTGTTGCTGGGAAGGATGGATCTGGATGAGGTTGCGTATTTATATCTGCTAGTGCTTGATGACAGGGAGTATGCTTATCAGACTCTGAAGGAGTATACCCGGGATGAACTGCTAGAATGTATACGGCTCGCTCATGTTCTAGTAGATCAGGGCACAGATTTCTCTATGGTGCAGCCATTGATTAAGGTTTGTGTTGAGTTGGTTTCATCTGGTTTCCCCGAATGCAGGGATGAATTTTTGCCACCATTTAGTGCAGACCAGGTAGAGTCCCTGGTGTGGTTATTAGAGGATGATGTGGGTTACTTTCTGGAGCGTTATTCCACATGTTCACCACAGGTACTAAGAGATTGTATAAACGCAGTGCAGTCTTTGGTCAGACAGGCTTTGTGTAAGCTCGGCTTTGTTCAACCCATACTGCAGACATGGACAGATTTGTTACACCCAGCCTCAGTCAGCTTACAAAAACCCAGTCCTGCTTCTAATCTATCTCCTCAAAGCTCTACTCCTGTATTCCCAACAGCTCCTCCAGTTACAGCCCAGTATACTTGGCTATCTACCGCATGTCAGTACCCTGTTCCCACTCGCTGCACCTATCCTGCCTTTAACCCTGTAAAAAAGCCCTCTGTAGCAACTGCTCCCTCTCCTTTTCCATCCTCCAGTTCTTCTCTGTCTCCAGCTGCTCCATTCGTTTGCAGACCTGCGTTTACTTGCAGTGCTCCAGTAGTTAAAAACAGAAAAAAGCGAAAATTCTTTCCAACCAATACCATCCTGCCAGTATCCAAACCGGTGAACCTGCCTTCCGTGGTTCAGCCTGAAGCCTCTACTCAGCCTGATGCCTCTACTCAGCCTGATGCCTGTACGCAGCCTGATGCCTGTACGCAGCCTGATGCCTGTACGCAGCCTGGAGCCTCTACGCAGCCTGGAGCCTCTACGCAGCCTGGAGCCTCTACTCAGCCTGGAGCCTCTACTCAGCCTGGAGCCTCTACTCAGCCTGGAGCCTCTACTCAGCCTGGAGCCTCTACTCAGCCTGGAGCCTCTACTCAGCCTGAAGCCTCTACTCAGCCTGAAGCCTCTACTCAGCCTGGAACTCTGCGTTTCCCTGCGTCAGTCACACACCTCTGGTCACACCTGGGAGCCCTGACAAGGTGTTTTAGCACCTGGTGTAAAGGCGAGAATATACTGCAGCCCGAGAAGTAGCATGTCTAAATGCTTTAGTCAAGTTGAACTGGAACCAGCTAGGGCCCTTGAAGCAAATCCAAAGCGAAAGGACACTGTCACGTACCTTGGTTGAAGGCCGAGTTGACGAGAGGGCTTCCCTTGCAGCTCTGGTTCGAGCACCCCTGAATGTGGTGACAGAGGTACAAGGCTCAAAGAAGCACGGGCGCTGATAGCTTGACAGCAGGTGACTGCCATGGTCAGGGATGTAGTCAAGGTGAACCAGGATCATACACAGTGAAACAGCAGCGTTGTCAGGAGGTAAGTTGGGGTCGGTACCAGGCTAAAAGATGCTCTAGAATGCCTGTTGGGGGAAGGAAATGGTTCAGTGTATTGGACCTAAAGAACTACAGAATATTGGGGTGCCGCAATGAGGCTCTGTAGCTTGTGCTTGTATTTGCAAATGTGTGCTAACTAAACCCCTGTTTTTAATGCATACTATTAGACAGGTTAATTCGGTTTGTTTGCCTGCAGGCTGGTTGGCAAGCTGAGCTGGGAATTTTTCTCTTTTGTTGTTTGACATGTGTCACCCTTCCATGTGTTCCTTGCTGTGAAGGCCAGTTATAGATTGGGGCAGTGGCCATTTTTTGTACTGTTGAATTGTTGGTGAGGGGGCACACTGGACACCTTAGTTGCCATTGTGCTACATGCTGGGTGTCCAGTGTGCTCCTATACCTTTGAGGGGTGAGCTCCCTCAGGTCCACCTGCCCTTGGTCAATCCATTAAATGCATGTGCCTCTACTATGGGGGGCTCTTGACGTTTGTAGAGTTAGGAACTACAGAATAGTGGGGTGCCGTGATGAGGCTCTTTAGCTCATGCATGTATTTACAAATGTGTGCCCACCAGAGTTCTATGAATTTGAGTGGATGTTCCAAGGTCCCACTATTCCGTAGTTCCTAACTCTACAAACTTTGAGAGCCCCCCATAGTAGAAGCACATGCATTTAATGGACAGCTCCACTGAACTTCCAGCAACTGATGAAGCGGATTGTGGGATACATGAACCTGACTGAGGTGCTGGTGTACTTGGACATCATCATCTTAGGCAGAAGAACTTGGAGAATGTCCTAAAGAGTTCAAACAAGGGGTTGAAGGGTCAGTTCTATTAACCTTCTATCACTTATCTGGACACATTGTCTCCATTGCTAGAGTGGCCACTGACCCCAGGAAATTGAAAGCTTTCACCTCCAGGCCAATACCAAGCAAAGTGACTGATCTGAGGTCAGTTCTAGAGTTCTGCTTCTATTATTGATGATTCATTGAGGGATTCACCAAGATAACCTGACCCCTCAATGTATTGAGGATTGAGGATGAAGGAGACGATTCAGAATTGCCGAGACTTCCAAGACAGAGCTGTCAAACCAAAAGGGTCCAGGAAGCCTCAGGAATCGACAGAGGATGAATGGACTGATCAGTACAAACATGCCTTGCTCTAGTGTCTCAGTTTTGGCCTACTCTGATCCAACTCAACCCTACATGTTAACACCAGCCATGATGGGCTAAGTGGGGTGTTGTACCAGGAGCACGAAGGACACATGTGACCTGTTGCCTTTGTGAGCCTTACCTCTGCTGAAAAGAGCTATACCATGCACAAGATGGAATTCCTTGCCTTGAAAAAAGTTTGAAATAGAGATGCCGACACCCTATTGAAGAGACCCCTATGACCCTTAGACCCCTCCAGAAGAGTGAACCCGGCTGATGTCATAAGGGGTCTAGGCCATATATCAAGGAGTTGAGCATGTCAAGGGAGCTATTGGAGATAAAGCCATCGGAGTCACTACTGCAAGTATTCCCAAGCTCTACTGTAACCTCACTCTGGCAAAGAGTGGAGACCTGCCTACTCTATTGAAGAAAGGCCTAAGAAAGGATCAGGCGGAAGACCTATGTAGTCTGACCCTGAAAGCTCTGGAGAATGTTCTCTTAGAGCTGTTGCTAATGATCTCTCCTAAGCAAGCATGTCTTGTTAAGATGATCAACTACAGCTATGTAATGGAGTGGACTACTGAAAGGGCCCCTCAGATAATCTTGAAGACACATGGCAATTGTTTCTACAAGAGAAGCACAAAGAAACTGTTAGCTGCCTAGCATGATGACCATGGTTACTTAGAGCTGGAGAGGATTCTCAAGTTAGGGAGAAATCAGTTCTACTGGGCTTGCATGTTGGCTGAAATTGAGAGTCACTGTCAGTCCTGAATATGCTGCATCCAGAGGAAGACTTTGCCCTCCAGAGCCAACCCAATGTACCACCTCCAAAGTCAAAGGAACTATGCCTAGAACCCGATTTAAGTGGACAGGGTAATGTCCTGGTGGTGTCAGACCATTTCACCTGTTACCCCCCAAGCATTTCCAACAAAAGACCAACAAGCATAGACGGTGACCAAAGTCTTGGTGGAAACGTTTTTTGTTCACTATTGACTGCTCAAATAGTCTCTGATCAAGGTGGACTCAAAATAAAATGAATATCAGGTCTCTGCTTACGTGGACAACCTTCTATTTTTCATCAGTCAATGTGATATAACGTACCTAACCTAATGGCTGAGTTCCAGAGATATGATACTTTATCTAATCTAAGATACATTTTCAGAAATCTGAAGCACTAAACTTGACTCAACCGGAGGCGATCCTACAGAGACTCAGATCCGACTTTTCCTTTAAATGGGCTTCCACAAGCATCAGAAATCTGGGACTCTAATTGGCGAATGACTTCTCTAAAATGTACTCTAAGCTTTGAGACACTCCTTGCCTCTTTTTAAAAAAGACATAGCTGGTTGACAACAACTCCTGGATGGGTAGATGCATTGTTATTAAACAAAATCTCCTCCCTAAACTTCTTTACCTGTTTCAAACTTTACCAATCTACATCCCATTATCCTACATGAAGTCAATGCAATCCCTCTGGAATCAGTTTGTATGAGCTAATAAGCTTGCCCGAATTAAACAATTCTTCGGCACCAGAAAACAGAGGGTGGCATGGCAATGCCTGACGTTGAATACCAATTGGCGACTCACCTCACAACAATCATTGATTGAATTAGGCACTCACAAACCAAACAATGGGTAGCCATGGAAAATCACTCCTCTCCTACACCTCTCAGTCCTACCATGGTGCCCTTCCTTACCAACACTATCCTTACATACTGATCTGACCATTGCCCCAATTTTGAAACTGTGTGCAAAGGCATTACATATCTTGGTCTTTCTCCTTTTCCCTCACCTCTCTATCCCATATTAGGCAATCCTAATTTTCTCCCGCGGTTACAGAACAGAATTTTCTCCTTTTTGTGCCGAAATGATTTGTACTCTGCTACCCATTACATCAGCCAATCACAATGGTTAAGAGTATACCAGATGCCACCATTTTCCCACCTGAATAGATTCCATTTGCTTCAATTATATCATTTTCTGAAATCCTTACCACCGTCATCGCAGTTTACCCGCCCCCTATTGATCACTGAATCAGAATGTGGGGCACAAGGCCCAAAAAGTCACACACTGTCTTTCCGGTACAAACTTTTATTGACAGAGTTGTCTTCCACTGCTCTCAAATTCCTGGACCAATGGGAAGGAGATCTCCAAATCCCACTTATTCTGGAAGATCGTACAAAAATT